GGCGGCGGCGGCGGCGGAGCGGGCACCTATGTGATCCAGGGCGGCTACATGCTGGGCAGTGCCAGCCAGTCCTACTCCCACACCACCCGTGCCTCGCCAGCCACTGTAAGTACCACCTCCGGCCCCAGCAGAGGCCCGCAGTGGGAGGAGGGGGGGCTGAGGGAGGAGGAGGGGAGGGCGGTGGGGTGGGCGTGGTCAGTCGCCACCGTCAGCCACCGTAACTGTGGCACCAGAGCCCTCAGATGCAGATATTCTGGGATCAGATCCTCGCTGGGTAGCCTCAGACAAGTTACTCAGCCTCTCTGGGCCTCAGCTCACATGCATGAAGCTGTTAGAGCAGTGCCCCAAGGGGCTTGTCTCCTGTGACTGTATAAAACTGAGGATGGTGGGTATGGAGCAAGGGGTGGGAGAGGCGGGCACCAGCATGGGGGGAGCTGCCCTGAGCAAGGTTCTTTGTGCATCCGGAAGGCAGCGAGATGACCTCTCTCTGCCCAGACATGGGCTGTATGCAGTCGCTTGGGGAGGGCCCCTCGCTGGCTCTGTGACTGTGGACGGGTCAGGGCCGGGTGGTCCCGTGGCGGTCCTTGTCCTCTTGGAGCTTGGGGTCTGGGGTGATTTTAACTACCTCCCTTTGACCTAGCAACACATCCTGGACTACATAATCAAGACAGAAGCTTTCTCGGAAAGCAGGCAGACCCTCCCTTATACACCCATGCAGGCCGGCTTCTAGTCTATTTTTTTAAATGCTGGCTGTGACCCACCTAACTGATTTCATGACCCCGTAACGCGTCCTTACCCGAAGTTTGCAAACATGGTTCACTAGAACAGTGCTGTGCTGTAGAACATTTTCCAGTGATGGAAATATTCCGTCTGTGCTGTTCAATGTAGAGGCCTCTGGCCACATGTGGCTAGTGAGCACCTAAAATGTGGCTGGAGTCACCAAGGAACTGAGTTGCGTTTGTTTTTCTTTCTTTCTTTTTTTTTTAGAGACAGCGAGAGAGGGAACACAAGCAGGGAGGGTGGGAGAGGGAGAGCAGGCGCCCGCGTTTGTTTTTCTTTAAACTATTTTGATATAATCATAGATTCATAGGAAGTTGCAAAAATAGTACAGGGAGATCCTATGGCCGCCCCCCCCAACCCGGTTACCCCACTGCAGTACAGTCTCGAACCAGGAAACTGGGTTTGCTACAGTGTGGCTGTCTACTTATATCTTTTTATCACGGGTATGCATTTGGGAAACCACCACTACGGTCAAGATGCAGAACTGTTCCATTGCCTCAAAGATCGCCCTCCTGCTGTCCCTTCATAGTAACCTCCGCCCTGCTCCCTCCCGGCATCCCTAACCCCCAGCAACCATGAATCCGCTCCCCGTTTCTATAATGCTGTCATTCTGAGAATGTTCTATGAATCATCCTCCACATGACCTTTTGACATTGGCTTCTTCCACTCAGTATAAATTAAATACCTGTATGTGGTTGGTGGCAACTCCACTGGACGGTGTGGTTCTAGAGAATTCAATGAGGTTTAGTCCCATCCCCCCCGCCGTGCTGTCAGGATCACAGTTGGAAATAGGTACAGAGAGCCCTTCGCAGGGAGCCCCCGAGAAACTGCAGTGACTCTTGGTGCTGTCTGTCCCTGGTGCGGCTGCAGGTTCAGTGGCTCCTGGACAACTACGAAACAGCAGAGGGGGTGAGCCTGCCGCGGAGCACGCTCTACTGTCACTACCTGCTGCACTGCCAGGAGCAGAAGCTGGAGCCCGTCAACGCCGCCTCCTTCGGCAAGCTCATCCGCTCTGTCTTCATGGGCCTGCGCACCCGGCGGCTTGGCACCAGGTGGGCCACCCACCCCAAGTTCTCCAGGGCCGTGACTCACTCTGCTCTAGCCCCACTGGCCCCTGCCTCTGACACACACGCACACCCACCCCAGGGCCTTTGCGCCAGCTCTGCCTTCTCCTTCCTGCGCTTTTCCCCGGTTCCTTACTCCAATGCCCCCTGGCCCCCTTAACCGAAACTGAAGCCTTCCCACCTGCCACCTCCCTGACACTCCCCACCACCCCCTTCCCTGCTTGCTTTCCCTCCTTACCGCGGAGCACTGTCCCACATGCCTTTTGTGTTGCTTCTCTTGTTGCTGATCTGGCTCCCAGTGCCGAGATGCACATACCTTGAGAGTGCGGGAGCTGCACACTGTCGGTGCTTTAATCAGCGCCTTCAAGTCTGAATTCATGTGGGAAGGAACAAGGGGCCTTCCCCTGAACCCACCCTTCCCTTCTTCTCCTTTGCAACCCTCACACCTCCGTGGGGTGAGCCCTGCTCCTCTCTCGGGTCCAGTTCCCGGCTTAAGCGTCCCCTCATTCACTTACACATGCATAACCCGTGGGCAAAGTACTGTGTCTGTCTGTGCCACAGTTTCTTCCTCTGTCCCCGGAGGGTGCCAGGAGCACCCTTCATAGGACGGGGATAAGGAACACGGGCATTTGCTTATGCTAAGTGCTCAGAACAGGGCCTGGCAAGTTGTTGCAACTAGTAGTCAACAAGTACTTGGTGATTCCTGCCCCGTGCCAGGATCGGAGGTCGAGGAGTGCCCCAGATGCTGGCCCTGTCTTCTCAGAACTCAGTTGGTACCCACAGCCCCTGCCCTTCCCCAGCACAGCACCCCCTGGCTCCGTGGAACATGGGTCTTGCCCCAGGCTGTTTGGCCTCCAGGCAGGGGGAAGCAGGGGTGATGTGAAGGTCCCCAGTGGACAACTGGAGGCCCCCCAGCCCAGCTCTCAGCCTCTGCCTCCCTCTCAGGGGCAACTCCAAATACCACTACTACGGCCTGCGCATCAAAGCCAGCTCGCCCCTGCTGCGGCTGATGGAGGACCAGCAGCACATGGCCATGCGGGGCCAGCCCTTCTCGCAGAAGCAGAGGTAGGAGGATGGGGCCGGACCCTGTGCTGGCGGGCGGGGAGGGGCGTGCTGGCCTGTCTCAGTGCCCCAACCCCACCCCTTCTCCAGGCTCAAGCCCATCCAGAAGATGGAGGGCATGACCAACGGTGTGGCCGTGGGGCCACAGCAGGCCACCGGGCTGTCCGACATCAGCGCCCAGGTCCAGCAGTACCAGCAGTTCCTGGGTGAGAACGCCCTGGCCCATGGGGCGGCATCCGGGCCGGGGTCTGAGGCCTCTGGAGAGCGTGCAGGTGGTTCCATCTGCCTTCCCAGAGCCTCCTCATTCCCCACTGCCCAGGGCAGACCCCCGCTTGGGAGGAAAGTGCTGACAACTTGATAAGATCCCAGGGAGAGCCTTGGGGGGGGCAGGCAGGTGGAGGATAAAGGGCCTCATGGTGTCCCCTCCTGCCTCCAGATGCCTCAAGGAGTCTCCCTGACTTCTCAGAGCTTGACCTCCAGGGCAAAGTGCTCCCCGAGGGCATCGGGCCTGGGGATATCAAGGCCTTTCAGGTCCTGTACCGGGAACACTGTGAGGTAGGGCAGCTGGGTGAGTGGGCAGGGGCGAGGGAAAGCCATGCTGCCGCCCCCCCCCCCCCCCCCCGCCACGTCCCTGAGCATCCGGCCTCCCCAACAGGCCATTGTTGACGTCATGGTGAACCTGCAGTTCACCCTGGTGGAGACGCTGTGGAAAACCTTCTGGAGGTACAACCTCAGCCAGCCCAACGAGGCGCCTCCGGGGGGTGTTTGGTTCCGGGGGGGGGGGGGGGCGGATGGGGAGGAGGGAAAGGGGGGCGGGCACGGTGAGAGTCAGCGCCCGGGGCTGGGGTAGCCAGACCTCGGACCTCAGGTGGAAGGGCGGTATCTGCCTGAGCCCTGCAGTCTGTGGGGTGCCCATGACCTCCTGACCCGCACTTCAGTGCTCGTGTATCAGTCCGACACTCAGTGCCTGGGATAGCACGCCTCGCTAAGCCATTTCCTCCCGGCAGCGGGCGTATAAGCTCCCCGCCTGACCCCGGGGGCGTCGGGCCCGTGTCAGCCTGACCTTGGGGCTGGGGCGGGTGTGCACAGGCACGACGAGGCTGAGAAGCGGCTGCCCAAGGCCAGCCTGGTGCTCCTCTCCAAGTTTGAGCCAGTGCTGCAGTGGACCAAGCACTGTGACAACGTGCTGTACCAGGGCCTGGTGGAGATCCTCATCCCCGACGTGCTGCGGCCCATCCCCAGTGAGTGCAGGACGGCCCCCCCACCCCACCCCCACCACAGTCCCGATCAGCCCCTGCTGCCGCCCGCAGGTGCCTTGACCCAAGCGATCCGGAACTTTGCCAAGAGCCTGGAGAGCTGGCTCACCCACGCTATGGTGAACATCCCTGAGGAGATGCTGCGTGTGAAGGTGAGGGTGTGACGGGGCTTCTGGGCACGGGCTCACGGGGAGGGCGCTGAGCGGCCAGCCTGGGTGCACAGCCCACATCCTGCCACCCGGCTGTGGGACTGCGGGCTGGGGGCCTTGGGCTCCTCTCCCTGATAGAGGCCATGGGATCTGTCCCCACGCATGTCCCTCAGAGTGAGCTTTGGGTATTGCCTTCACAAACCGGCTTCCTCAGGTGCCCACTTCTGAAACACAACCCCTCTGTGGTGTTTTTGTGCACAATACGATATCTTAAAAAAGAAAAACCAAACGCAACTTGAAGTAGTTCTCTTTGGACAGCTGAAGCAAAAAAAAAAAAAGCAACATTTATAAGTGAACAGAATAATAGCCCTCTTCATCAATGCTGCATATTCACTAACTACTCTGATGTGAGGAAGTAGATGTGATGTGCTTGCTCTTGAGCAAAAAAAGAAAAGGAAGAAAAATAAATAAAAATAAAAGGAAGAAAAGGGGGTTTTCATTGTCCTTAAAATGTCAAGGAGACAGTTATATGGAACTGGGCATCTGAAGCATTACTCCTGGGTGCACTGGACAGGGGGTGAGGAGTGGAGAGGTGGAAAGAGTAGAAGCTGGATCCAATGAAAAAAATGAATAAATGTATTCATTTATTCAGCACACATTTATTGAGCATCTACTGTGTGCCAGCATGGTTCTCCATGCTGGGAGCACAGCAGTGACCAAGATGGACAACACCCCACCTTCCCTAACCTGACATTCTAGCCAGTGCCCTCTGAGAATTTCTCTTGTGTCCTTTCATTAAAAATAATAATAATGCTGGTCAGACACATTATATTGTTTTTTTTTTTTTTTTGCCCCGTACTTTGGGTGTCCACCCGAAGTTTGAAAATCCCGACCCCTTGATCTCCCAACAAAAGCAACGAGGTACATCCCTCCCTTTTAGGAGAAGGAAAGGCTCAGAGAAGTTGCAGCGGATGGGGCAGGGGATGGGGGAGGGGGGATCGCACCGTCCACGCGCACATCCGCCACCTGCCACATCCGGCCCCGCAGGTGGCAGCGGCCGGCGCCTTCGCGCAGACGCTGCGACGCTACACGTCGCTCAACCACTTGGCGCAGGCGGCGCGCGCCGTGCTGCAGAACACGGCGCAGATCAACCAGATGCTGAGCGACCTCAACCGCGTGGACTTCGCCAACGTGCAGGTGAGCGCGGGACGGGGCCGGCGAGCGCGGCGCGGGTGAGGGCAGCGCGGCCCCGGGGCGGCGGCTGAGCCGCGGGCACTTGCCGGCCGTCCTCCAGGAGCAGGCCTCGTGGGTGTGCCGCTGCGAGGACCGCGTGGTGCAGCGGCTGGAGCAGGACTTCAAGGTGACCCTGCAGCAGCAGAACTCACTGGAGCAGTGGGCGGCCTGGCTGGACGGCGTCGTGAGCCAGGTGCTCAAGCCCTACCAGGGCAGCGCCGGCTTCCCCAAGGCCGCCAAGCTCTTCCTCCTCAAGTGGTCCTTCTACAGGTGCGCTCTGGCTCCGCCTCCGGGAGGGGCGGGGCGGCCCCTTCTGGGGGCGGGGCCTCGGGACGGCTCCTCCTCTCCGGGGGGCCGGCCAAAATGGGATGGGGGAGGCCCCGCCTCCTCGCAGAACTTGGGACCAGAGAAGATCCCGCTTCCTCGGGGCTCGGGTTCCCTTTCACCAGGGCGGAGGTCCCTGTTGGCGGTGGGCAGGGTGAGGACCCTATGCTCTCACTGTTGGACGCACTTGGGAAAGCCGGGGCGGGGCCGGACCGGGGTAGCAGGGCTAGCTGGCGCGTTGGGGGGTCGTTGAGGCACGGAAGGCTGGCGAGGGGCGGCACCGGGCCTGATGGCCTCCGTTCCGCCGCCGCCCACAGCTCCATGGTGATCCGGGACCTGACCCTGCGCAGCGCTGCCAGCTTTGGTTCTTTCCACCTCATCCGGCTGCTCTACGACGAGTACATGTACTACCTGATCGAGCACCGCGTGGCCCAGGCCAAGGGCGAGACCCCAATCGCCGTCATGGGCGAGGTGCGCGCGGCGGGGCGCTGAGGGCGCGGGCGGGGCGCCCCTCGGCGGGACCCTCACCCCTTGTCTTGCCTCCTTGCAGTTCGCCAACCTGACCACCTCGCTGAACCCCCTTGACCCGGACAAAGGTAGGCGGGGCGTGTTCCCTAGCGTGGGCCCGAGTCCCAGGAGCGGCAGTCGGGGCGGTGGGGATGGAGGAGACGCCACGCTGAGTCGGGCCTGCTCTGTGTGCCCCAGACGAGGAGGAGGAAGAGGAGGAGGAGAGCGAGGACGAGCTGCCGCAGGACATCTCGCTGGCGGCTGGCAGCGAGTCGCCCGCGCTGGGCCCTGACGCCCTGGAGCCGCCGGCCAAGCTGGCACGGACAGACGCGCGTGGCCTCTTCGTGCAGGCGCTGCCCTCCAGCTAAGCCCGCGGCCTCCCCCGCCCCGCCCGCCCCCGCCGCCCGTCCACGCCAGGGTCCCTCACAGCTTCTGTGGCTTCGCTGTCACCGTTCCAGCCTCGGGCCGGGAGGGGGCCGCCAAGACAGGGAAGGCTAGGGGGTCCCTGCCCGCAGTGGGGCCGGCACAATCACAGGGCCGGGCGGAGCCGCAGCTGCAAACTGACACAAAAGACGTGCCTTAAGGAACCCGCCACCGTGCCCAGGTGCCCCGTGGGACAGCCAGCTAGGCTCCTTGGCCCCGAAGGCCTCAGCATCTCCCTCCCCCAGCCCCACCCTCCCGCCACCCCAGGGGGCAGGCAGGCAGGCCCCCCTCCCCTGTGGAACTGTTAACTTATTCAGCTCGCTGGCTTTGCACAGTCTGTCCCGGGCCCAGCCCTGAGCCCCAGGTGGGCACAGGTGGGCATCACCTGGGGACCCCCACTGTCAGCAGCAGCCCCGGGACCCCTCCCCCAGCAACCCCACCGCTCCCCACTCCTTGGTATAAGTGCAATTAAAGCCGTGGGTGTCGCATCTTCTCCAGAGCTGGGCCCTCCCTTGCCCCGCAGCCCTCGAGGAGGGCACTGTCCTGGCCTGGTTGGGGGGAGGGCGGCCGGGGGCACCGCCTCCAGCTTCCAAAGAGCAGCAGGCCGGGCTGGGCGTGGGAGCCCAGAGGGGCCTGCTGCTGGCAGTGGGGCCCGGAAGTGCCCGCGCCTGTCCCGACCCCGGCTGGGGGCTCGGCTCCCTCAGATCCAAGACCCCGGCGTCCCAGGCCACCCGCCTCTGGTTTGTAATGGAACCTCTGTGCTCCTTCTCTCCCGGGAGACTGTGCTTCTCCTCCGTGCAGTGCGACCCGCCCCCCACATGACTATTGTGCGATTTGTGAGCCGCCTGAGCGGAGTTGGTAACTTGTTGGTTTTTTTCCAACCATCATGGCCTTATCTGTTCCGGTTTTCTCAGTGTCTTCAACCTGTGAGATAGATGTTTATGGCAAAAAGCAAAAAAAAAAAAAAAA